TAGGTAGTACCCGATACTTATATCGATAGGTGAAAAACAGTTATCCCCCATCCCTAGGCGATAACTATCGCATATCGATATAGTCGATAACTATGACATAATCGATATATCGATAACTATCGACCAAATCGATAACTATCGACATATCGATATTCGATAACTTAATCGACATATCGATATATCGATACCTATCGATAGTAAATCATATATCGATAACTATCGATATATCGTAACTATCGAAATATTCGATAACTATCGATATATTCGATAACTATCGATATATCGATAACTATCGATATATCGATAACTATCGATTATATCGATAACTATCGAATATCGATAACTATCGATAATATCGATAAAACTATTCGACATATCGATAAACTAATCGACATATTCGAATAATTTCGATTAATTTACCGCATATAGATAAGTAAAATATATCGATAGGTCGTAGACAATGCAGTACTTTAAATGGGTACGAGTTAGAGCTTTCGCTTCGCATGCAATTTACTTCTAAAGATGTAAGGTGGAAAGGGGTGAACACTTTGTGGCGATTGGAGAATGAATGCAGTTCAACATGCAAAATCAATCGTAACCCATCGAACACAGTTATCTGCAGAACTGGGGATGAAGATTTGTCTCGAAATTTAAAAAAAAAGGTTGTTTCATTTATGTGATATTCCCAAAAAAACAACACTTCTTTTACAGCATACGTACATGGCAAATTGATCTTTAACCATTTCTAAAAAACCCATCTGACAATTGGTCACTGTTAAATTTGGCGCAAATACCTGTAACAGTGTTTTACAATTGTGGAAAAAAAATTATTTCGTGTAAACTTAATTTATTTGTATCTAATTTTGTCGTTTTTTGTTCCAGATTTCATAGGCCTTGACAGTTGCAAGGAACATTAGAAAAAATAAAGCTACATACTGTGATGGGCTTAGTTGTAGAGTTCAATATTTCCATTTTCATTTTTGATTGGGTCACGATACCTGCCAAGTTTATACACAGATATTGTATACACTTGTTAGTAACTCTGTAATTGTTTTGTACATAATGTGATTTTTTATTATAGGAAGCAATGGAAATTACATATTTAACTGTAAATCTTTTATGTTAAAAGCACTTGAACAAATGAAATGTATATATAGAAAATACGTAGATAGTTTAAGATTCTCCTTATGTTGATAAATTGCGAATACATCACAAACTGTGTTCTCGCGCAGTTTCTGTGATAACAAAATCGTTGTAGCAAGTTCTCTGCATTAATATATTTTTTCTACCTACCATCTTTGGTGGCTCCATAATATTTTATTAATGATATTCACTTCAAGTTAGATAAAAGAAAAAAAAACAATCGTCTATACCTATGTATAATATGATGATAGATCGACTTTAACCTATTTTTTAATCGAACTGTTCTCGTTTTATGTATTTTGACCATGAACCTTATTGTATGATGTAAATTAATCTGTTTATATTTGAAACAATAGACACGTTAATTTTTAAAACGTCAATTTATTGTAACATCCTACTTCTTTACAAAAATGTACACTAAGGCAACGATAGGGCTTATAATAAATACCTTACCCTGCGATCTAATTTGAAATATACTCTTAATATGTACACTTTTTGTAAGATAAGAAAGCAATTGTATTCATATTCAATGGCTATTTATACTGATTTAATAACAAGAAATGTCTTCCAAATAAACAAAGACATTGAAACAGTTATTTTATGATTTTTATTTGCTTGTTTTTATTGTCTCTTACCATTTGGTTAACGTCTCAGATCATTCATTTTATGTTGCATTTAATTTGTTGCAAGGAGATAATTAATTTGTATGGCGGTTCAATTTCATCAACTTGAAATCAAACAATTATAAATTATTTGACAAATGGTGCCTCCCTAAATCCCCCAACAACATCTATGGTATTCCCAAAACAATCGTCTACCTACACGATTTACTACAAGGCACAAAGCAGTGGCTACATATATGACATTGAAATTGGAGATGGTTTTTGATTAAACCACTGCACTATTGTTTTATTGGGCGTCATTGGCCGCTAAGAGAAACCCATGTACATGAAGCTTTGCATCAAGTGGCATCAATCAAGAGCAAGTTTTGGGCAATGAACAATAAATAAGGAATTCCTTTGGTTTTAACAAAAACTTGACCTATTCTAATACTAAGCTCATAGATGGCAAGACCATTTATATCCACTGTGCAATAACTATACGACTACATACAGTCTTGTTACGAGTTAAAAAACGGATTAAATGATGCAAATTCTGTATTTTTTTTCTACTGAATCCAATCTGTAATTAAAAAAAACAAAACAATATCGCATTTGTTAAATAACAAAAATGTAACATAGATCACCCTTGTATATATTACATCACAAGAAGGCTAAACTCAATCCTTTACAAAAGGTCTTATGGCGTTTCATGCACAACAAATTTAGCAGAAGCTTACGCTTAAAATCCATGGCAACGATTATTGAACAATGGTTGCCATGGATTTTAAGCTACGCTTAAGCTAAGCTCTGCTTTTTAAATTTGTTGCTGCAACGGGCATTTAATGCGCCATTAATGAAAATATTTAAAATAACCAAGATTTTCAATTACCCTTCATTTTCTATCTAGTGTCCACAAAAATGGTAAAATGCAGGGGCGGACTGGGTAACTGCGGGCCAGGTGGAATTGCATAGGTTACGGGCCATTAAAGTATTAGTGTAGTAATGATGGTGACGGGGGGTTAGCTCTGATGTGCACCACAAAAACATTTTAAAGTACTCCTTTCTCGAATATAAATTACCATACAGTTTTTTTTTAAATTGCAGCTGATAATTAAAAGTAACAAAATATACAATCCACACGAGGTGCGTCGCCTATCATTGTATTTCAGCACTTTCATGCTACGACAAAAAATTATAAATTCAATTACAACAGAATGTTTTAACAACCTAACATCAACCCCAATTAGAGAAACGTGTTAATAATTTATTAATAGTGCATGAAACTAAATACAGCACATACTTATAAATTTCCAACGGGCCATTATGATCTACAGGCCAGCTGGCAATCGCCACCCGCCCCCCCCGGGCCAGTGCGCCCCTGGTTATACACTGCCTTTTTTTGAGCCCCGAAAAAAAAATTGTCTCAGATCGACCCGGAAAAAAAATTTCCTTATAGGATGTGGCCTGTAGAATCCATAATTTCAAACAGTTCCAAGATTGGGCTACTAGTTCAAAAGTTACAGCCCTTTGAATTTTTTTTCGAAATTGGTTTCTAATCTATAACTTTTGATTGAGAAGTCTGATCGAAAAAGTACGAATTGATTTGGATTCTACGCACCAAAATTAATAAGAAAAAGTGTTCTCCCGAGAAATTTTGGTGTACTCGAATTTTGGTAAAAAAGGAAGGTTATACCAGGTACTTACGGGCCATTAAAGTATTAGTGTAATAATGAAGGTGCCGGGGGGGGGAGCTCTGAGGTGCACCACAAAAACATTTTAAAGTACTCCTTTCTCGAAAATCAATTACCATACAGTTTTTTTTTTAATTGCAGCTGATAATTAAAAGTAACAAAATATACAATCCACACGAGGTGCGTCGCCTATCATTGTATTTCAGCACTTTCATGCTACGACAAAAAATGATAAATTCATTGTAAAACACTTCAATTAAAACAGAATTTTTTAACAACCTAACATCAACCCCAATTAGAGAAACGTGTTAATAATTTATTAATAGTGCAAGAAACTAAATACAGCATAAATTTCCAACGGGCAATGGGCCGTGATGTACAGGCCAGGTGGCAATCGCCACCCGCCCCCCCGTGCCAGTCCACCCCTGGTAAAATGACCTTGTTTGTTATGGATTATCAGAACTGAACTGAATTTGTAGGTAGATTTTGCTATTATTACAATATATTGTCACCTTGGATTCCAGATTCATTTCTACCAATCCAATGTATTTGGTTAAAACATGGCGGACCTTTCCTCATTACTCCAATTTTTTAGACGTGCGTCACATCAGAGTACATTAACTTAGAGTTAAGAACATAAGTACCTAATGCTTATAACCACACTTGCCATTAAATGAAATTGTTTAGTATCGAAAATTAATTCTTTTAGAACTTGGGGGTGGGCAAACTATTTCTGTCATCAGGGGGGGGGGCTGTATAAAAAGTTCTCTTCCCTCAATTATTCACAATGACCGGCTATAAGCATTATATGTTGCCAAGGACTGCCATATGAGACATCCCGATGACATGAATACTACTGTATTTTGAGGGAGGCCGCCATCATGTTTGCTTTTCAAAAAAAATGTGAGAAAAGACAATCTTACACCTACAAATAACCTAATGTCCAATTCTGCTGAACTGCGTAGCTACGCATTTTTGTGGAAAAAAATGTTTCATGCCAAAGAATCAAACTAGAGCCGCCCGAGTATATCTTGGCCACTACACTAGACCATCGTGACTGAACTGAGTTCACAATTTATGAAAAAGTTGATGAGAATTAAGGGACATCTAAAAGAGACATGCCCAACGTCATCGCAGTTACTACTCTCTGTATCCCAAATGTGGAAATACAGTTGTACGCACAGGTCCGGAAATTCGAACTCCTATGTGAGAAGTGAGGCTGCGTAGTACCAAAAGTCGTCACCAACGCTGCTCTACCAGCCCAAACCCTCTATACATTTACAAATTTCCATGCCCCATTTCGAACCAGGGACCCTTAGTGCCACAGTCTGGCTTCCAAACCACTGCACCACACAGGCTGGCAAACGCAGTTCTATTTTACCTATCCTTACCATTACCAGATTTGTTGCAAAAAAACTTCAAAATCAAGCAAGATTTATAAATTTTCAAGAGTCAACAGTGTGGCCACCAATAACTATTTTGTTTGCATTTTTCTTTTAGAAAAATACTCATAAAAAAGAAATTCTTTAATATATCACATTTCTAAAAAAAATATATGTATATCTAGAACCAAATAATCAGATATATTTTTTAATTCGTGCAACATTATGAAAAATATTTCGATACGCACTGTATTCACTTGTACCAGTGAACTTTTCGTATATACAAAACTTCAACATATCACATTAAAAATACATAACTAACTTATAATATTTTGTCTTAGTAACATTATAATACAATATAATTTAATCGCGGGACCTAATTTAATACGTAATATTTCGATTATATCACGTTGGCTGAGCATTAAGAGTGCCTCACCGTCAATTTTGTGTTGCCTAAATAGAGCGCTGTGCTTTTCAAAATAGGGCACGGAAGCAATAAACTGTACTACGTCCTCTTCTTCCCAATCTCTAGGGTCCAAACTCCTCTTTACGTACTTTTTTAAATATCTCGAATGCTTCTCCCAAATTTGTTCCGTGTATTCATTATCGTATCCATTTGTAAAAGGTAGTTTTCCATCACACTTCGTGTCAAACACTTTTTCTTTTCTTTTTAAAGGTTGTTGCAAGTCTACACTATTGCCATCTTCAGGTAACCATTCAGTCTTAATTGGCGAATCTAATCTTGGCATTTTTGGAGGTCGTCCCAATTTAGGTTTCCTAAGGATTAATTTAGTGAGCCAAATAAAAAAAATATGCGGGCTACTTACGATGTATCTTTTGGTTCCCGTGACACAGGCACTACAGCCTGCGGTCGCCTATCGGGACTTGACAAACGATCAGGTAACACATGTTCTCTTCCTAAGTTCTCATCGGAATATGGACAATCGGCTGTTGTCGAATGAGTCGAGAACTTTGCACCCATAACGTGTCCCTGTCCTCTGCAACCGACAGTGGGACACTCGAGGAAGTCATACACATCGTTGGGTGCTGAAATGACCAATTATTACAAATCTAACCTGGCAGATTAAAATTAAGACATACTTAACGGAGGTTCTATGGGATGACCTGTCTTCTGACACCAACCAACGGGGTGAATATCTGGACTGTCACTGTCCACCCAATAACTGTAACGGTCCGGCCAACCGTCGAAACTAATCCGTATTTGATGTTCCTTCACTTCGTCCACTGACGCTACACGAACTAACTGGGGCACCCGTTTATCGACACATTCAAGTCGCATTCCCTTTTTGAATCCGGGAATTTGTTTCTGCTTGAAAGCTCGTACGGGAGCTGGCGTCGCTTTAACTTCCTTCAAGTATTTCTCCCACGTGAATGTTTCCGGGTTTGGGTAATCTAACACATTGAGAAGATTAGTGAATAAGTACTTTTGGTATAGGATTTAACCTACCATTTGGCGGAGTAAGGCTATGTCCGTTTTGATCCGCCCAACCTACCGGATGAATGTATGGAGATGTCGGATCTGCCCAATAATCATATATGTCATCCCAACTATCGAAATGTACCAAAATTCTACTATCCATCATGTCCGCAACTGTAGCGACGCACACTAAGGAAGAGTCTTTTTTGTCAACTGCCTCTAACTTCATTCCCACACGAAATCCGTTCGGACAAATCGTCTGAAAACGGAAAAGGTGTGATTTTAGTGTAAGTCTCAATCACTCCTTAGAATAAAACAAACTGGATGCAAATAATATTAAAGCCCAAGATCTTCAGGTTGCAGCGCCGCACGTGGTGACGTCCTGTTTTGAAACGCTATTTTCAATTTTTTCACAAGGAAGATTCGCTTAGCCCTCAAAAAGCGTAGTTTTCCCCGAAAAATGTTCATGCGACTTGTATCCAAAATATCGTTTTTTCAAATGTAAAAAATCCGTCTTCTGGTTTGCGCCCCCCAGTTTGAGAAACACTGCTCTAAGTGATAGGGTGAACATTATTCTTAACGTTCAATCATAAAATAGTGTTTCATTGAGGTGTAGAAAAATGCGCAGTCGCCATGCAAAGGCTGCATGATGGCCTGCCCCAGTTATTTAAATATGCTATATGTAAAAATGCATAATTTGGCACCTTTGGGGAGCTAAATAAAACATCTCATTATACCCTGTACAACTCGCAGTGTTTGAGCAGTTAATGATTCCACTATAAAACATTCCATCTTATTGCGTCATTGAGGATGGAAAGAAGATCTCCCAGTCATTGAAAAAATTAGATGAACGAGGTGAACACTGCAAACACAGTCTTTAGTGAAACTTGCGTTGTTTTGAGGTTGAATCTCAGGTGTTGTTGTGTAATAGGTTGTTGAACAGGAAGCGGACTATTAATTTACACTTCACGTACATTCTAAAAAATGAAAACAAAAAATATGAATTATAAATGTATGACCAGGCGAATTTTACCTAGTTCTCATTTACAGTTTGCTTGAAATAAATTTGAGTTATTAAATTATTTGCGCTATCTTCATTAAAAACATCCTCCTCACCACCGCAGTCCACAATCCACGTGAATCATTAGCATACTCTGCATCATGTTGGCAAAAGATAGCGTGGAAGATGAAAAAATGGAAAAAAGGGTTTCGTTTTAAGAGCTCTCTTTAAAACACATATCCCGCAAGATGGCGCCATAATTCCAAAGTTAGGTATATTTATTAGACACATTACTCTTGTATTACTGAAAATCATGCAAATATCAGGATAAATTCTGATTCTACTAGTCAAAGAGTTGGTAATAAACTTTTTTGGGATTTCAATTTTCATTATTAACCATAAAAACAAGGTTAAAACTTGAAATACTTAACACTGACTTTGAAGTAGTAGGTAATTTTTGAGATTCTTAATACCTTCCCAACATGCGAAATTAATTGCCCAAATATCATCTCGCAAAAATTAATAATAAATGAGTAATGTGGTTAAAACCATCTGACATTGACAACGAATAATAATCAACCATGTTGGCAAACCTAGTAAAGTTCAGGTATTCTCCCCAAGATGGCTTTTGTTATCACCAAGAATGTTAAATGTGTCCAGTGTGATTACTCACACCAATAATAAATACCACTTGCTTTTTTGCCAAAAATAGCGGATGATTGCCATCTTAGAGAGTTTAAGATTGCGGTACTTTTTATATCTAGTGACTTTAAAAGTGCTAATGTATAGTCGCCTTCTACGGGGAAGCGGTAGGTGTTACCATTATAATGACAATTGAATCTGCCGACTGAAATTTCATGAAAAATATCGATTTTTAGCGACTTTAGCGTCGCGCTAGGCAAGATCTGGCAACTTGTTTCAAAGGCCCCTCTTAAGGGTAGTAACTTTGGCGCATTTTCCATGTGATCAGGACTTCCCGAAAGGGCATGTAACGTAAGAAAGTTGACATTGCGCATGCGCACATATAATTTTTGCAATATGCGATATGCTTGTCTTTACTAGAACCATCTGTGGTGGAAAAGTCAAAACAAAAATCTCCATGAATAAGAAAGTTAACATTGATCAGTGTGCGCATATGCACATCTGATTGCAATAAGCTGGCTTTACTAGAAGCATGTGCGTTTTAAATTTCCATGAAATATCTCAATATACAGGGTGCCTACGGGCTTCTCTGTGTCCTTTTAAGGGGCGGCAGTACAGCTCAAAAGGAGTTGACAAACCCCAAAACACCTTAGTAAAAGTGATTTAATAAGCAAGATAACATTTGTTTTATTTTTTTCATTAAACGATTAATCTGTGTACAAATCTAGCAATCTACTACTTAATCAGCATTGTCCAAATGTTTTTAAGTTTGTTTATTTGACAGGTATAAGTTGTTATCAATAATTAACCTCTACTATGACCTTTGTTTGGCTCAAAATCGTATTATTTTTGCCTTGTTTTTTGAAAAGTGTCAACTTTGATTTATTTAAACTAAAAAATAATTTAAGTGGACAATGCTGATTTAAGTAGTAGATTGCTAGATTTGTACACAGATCAATCGTTTAATGTAAAAAATAAAACAAATGTTATCTCGCTTATTAAATAACTTTTACTAAGGTGTTTTGGGGTTTGTCGACTCCTTTTGAGCTGTACTGCCGCCCCTTAAGTAGAGCGTAACACCCTGTATATGAAAGATAACATTGCGCACTCTGCGCATGCGACCGCTAATCGTATAGATTTTTATTGGTTGAGGCGCCAGTGCTATAAGCTAACGAATGTAAAAAGAATGAACTAAATATCTTGAAAACTGTAGGAGTAGTTAAGACCTCGGACGGATTGACGGAGAAAGTGGCCATAATAGCGCCCCCCAACATGAGTTGGACAGACTTTAGTTCTTTAAATGGAAGACAAAACATGTTGATTGAGACGAAATACAAAAAAGCAATATTCATGATCGCAATTGTAGTATAACCAACATTTCGTAATTAATATGACATGTATTTATTTATTTATTTATTATCCCTCTCTTGTTCTGGGCCCTCAACAGGCTTGCGCCTAATTACAGAGTGACCCGCATAATGCTTTTTAGAGGTGTCTCTGCAGTAAACACACCAAACTACGGTCTATTCAGTATATCTTCCGTTGCACGTCATTGCCTGAAGAAAACGACGTACCAACGTAAATTTACTTTCGTTTATTAGGCAACACATTAAGCTTGTAGTTTATTTTGGCCGCAACAATTGGTAGGATTTCGCTATGTTGTCGCGTTTAAATTTGTAAATTTGACAGGTTGCTTTTGGTTTACTTTTCGTTTGATTTGATTTTGATTATTTTCTACGTCTTTCGCTGTGCATTGGTTTGAAGAGTAATTACTGAAGAATTTTGATAACCCGTCAGTAATTGTGTTCGATAACGGGAAAACAGACAACATTAAAGTGTGGTTAGGAGATCATAATGTGCAGTTCTCCGAAAATGATTTTAAAGCCGAACTGTTGAAAAGGTTGCACAGTAAGTACGTTCGCAAATTATTTGGTATTATCTAAATCTTGTTGATACTTTTAGGAATAAATCAGCTAAAATGTACCGCATAACGCATTGACCACTTAGCCGAGCAATACGGTTACTTCGTTTTACGATTACCACCCTATCACCGCGTTTTTAATCCTATCGAACATATTTGGGGCATAGCGAAAAATTACTACAATCGACACATGGGTAGAGATGGACGAAGCATTGAAAATTGCATAAACATGTGACAAGAAACACTACAACCGATAACTTCCGAAACGTGGCGCAATTCAGTTAAGGATACGGAAACTGTAATACACGAGTGGTACGAAAGAGAAAAGCAATTAGATCTTGAAAACGTTGCTACTATTATTATAAACTTTGAACACGAAAGCAGTTCCGATGATTCCGATTAATTTGAATATCATCCATCATATCACATAACCTGTAAAATTTTATATTTAGTACTTTCTCTGTAAAAGAGATGCTACATTTGTACAGTTCATAAGTTATTAAAGTATATTGTACGTATATTGTGGTTCCAATTAACGAAATGAATAATAAAAATTATTTTTATTTTATTTAAGGTGTGGATTGTTCACACAAAGAATGCACTGTCTTGTTGACAAGTGACATAACCTAAATCGTTCAAAACTAGATTTGGCATTATTGCATAGTAATTACGTCACAGAAAATGATGACGTGCAACGGAAGTTATACGGAATAAAGTGTATGTCTCTATATAAAACCGAATGTCCAGAATACACGTTTGACCCTACACAGCACCTTTATTCACAGAAAAAACGTTTAAATTACTATAACAAACTATAACAATTTAGCGCCAATATGGCGGGGGGAACCAACGACCAAGCAAAAACGAGACACCCGGTTGTCACCACTGTTTTAAATAGAGTAGCTGTAGATCAGATGCGCATGCGCAAACTGTAATGCTAACTTTCTTATTTATATATATTCTTTTAAAAGGACCTCCAATTTTAATACGCCTCCACCCTAGTCGTTTCCTGGTTATGCTGAATTACCAAAACAAGGTGAATTTAATTTAATATTAAAAGAAAAGGGTCAAAAGTGAAATGATCCGCAGACCGCTTTCGCGGCACAGTTTGCACCCTGCTCATGGGATCATTTTTTCAAGAGTGTGCGTGGGCCAGTGCCGGGGGATAAGGGAGGACAGTACCGACGAAATTACAGATTTTTGCAAGGGATTTTGAGGTTATACATAAACCGTTGTTTAATACATTTTTCTCTAATCTCAACTATAAGGACGCTATCTGCCACCTATTTATAGAAGGTTGACTTACCTTGTATATGATTGTGTTACAGTAGCGTCCAATTTCGTTGGTAAGACTTCAAGTCCCTGAGTTAGTGCAACGAAGTTAAGCGCTACCACCATATAATGCGACATTAATGAACTGCCTCAATTTAAGTATGCAGCTATTTTTTAATGTATTATTTGATTCGACTGGCCCTGGTGTTAAGAAACATGAATGGACACTATTCTGTCGAGGCAATAAACACTCGCTATGGCGCTAATCAAATGCCTTAACACTCAGATAATTTCTTTGTGCGATTGAGTCACATTCTGAACACAACAAGAATAATTAAAAATGGAAATGATTATTGAAAAAGAACAAAACAAAAAAAGCAACAATAAAGAAAATAGTTTATACTCACACTGCCAGCTCTATTGGCAAATAAATGCTTTGGAGCTAACGGTCTGCAAGTTTGCTTCAGGTAATTTGTCCAGCTGAAATCTGCGCCGTAACTAGGGGGCGGATGCAAAACGTGATTATGTTTTTCACACCACCCTGCCGGAAAAATGTCCATACTATCAGCATTCACCCAAATATCATAGTTTCCCGAATAGCCGTCGAAATGCAATCTCATTCGATATCCGCTCACTTCGGCAACGCTAAGAACGCAGAAGTGCGAAGGATGCTGAGGATCGACGCCTTCCAGCTTCATGCCGGGGCGAAAACCGTTTCTGTTATACGGAAAGGCGTCCTTGAAGAACTTGACCGGAGCCGCTTTCGCTTTCATATGTTCCAAGTATTTGGTCCAAGAGAAGCCCTTCTTGGTACATGTCCACGGATAGCTGTACTTGTCTTGTGAGCAGTCGTTCGACGTGCTATCCTCTTCACTGATAGACTCGTCTTTATCCAACTTCATCTCCTTTATATTCTGATCACTAGCTGCCCTCTTCAGTAAGCTTCTTTTTCGTTTCAACTCTTTTTCTCTGGCAATCTTCTCAGCGCTATCCTTGCAATCGTAGCTGCAGAACTTGGGGGTAATAAACTCCGATGGCAAACCGTAACATCCGCAACCCAAGCATCTCATTTCATCCGTGAGATAATTCTTCTTCTCCTTCACCTTTGGCACTTTCTTTTCATCCTTAAGTTTATTGAAATCATCATTTTTTAAGTACTCTAACAGGCCAAACTCGTTAATTTGAAAACGAATGTCGCTACCGGGAAGGGTGCCGATTCCATCTTGCCAGCTTAGGATTTTCTTCGCGTCGAATTCTTCGTTCATATTAATGTCAGTTTCGTCCTTAACGGAACTGAACTCCATCGACTCCTCGCTGTTATCGAAATTTTTGGAATTACTCAGAGATGTCTTCTCCATGGGAAGAACAGGAGGAGTTTCGTTCCAGAAACTACTCGAAATTAAATCGACTTCGTCATAATCTTTTCTACAGTTAAAACTAGATTTTCTACGTCGTTCCGATTTTTGGGGTAGCACTTTAGGTTCCGGTAGTATCACAGGGGGGTCCGAGGTGTAACACGCATTTGTACTAATCGTAATTTCTTTCGTATTACTATCTGAAATGGTTGTAATGGAATTAGGCGTTGTTGTGTTACTGATATTTTCCGATTTTGGTTCCGGGTTGTAATTTTTTTTTAATATCGACACGCCGTGTTTTTGAAATTTTGGCTGCGGATCTTTGTGCGTTTGAGATTTTTTGTCTTTGTCGTCGGTAATGTTTGTGGTAAGATTACTGTCGCCTGTGGAGTTTGAGTCTTCTACAATTGATAGTTCGTACGTTTTGTCTTCAACCGATTCAACTTTACTAGCGCCCTCATCCGGATTGAGGGGTTCTGTACACGATAGATTATTGTCAACCCGGCTTTCTGTAGTGTTGTCACACATGACAGTGATACCACTCTGTTTTTCGGATTGCAATTGACCGTCCGCAATTTTTAAGTTGAAAACTTTATGTTTGTTATTAGATGGTTTTTTAACCGTTGTTGTGTTGTGTAGAGGAAATGGCATAATTGCAATCTTAGACTGGACACAGTTTGTGGTGACAGTTGCCGGTATTCGAGAGCTCGTAATTTTAGGTAAAGGTTGCAACACATACTTTTGATTTGTTGTCGAAATACCAACCTGTTGACCGGGTTTAATCATGGTAACGTAAGCTAAACTGTTTTTGGATACTGAAACCGGTGTTACGGTCACGGGAACCATTGAAACCGGCTTCATATACACATGCTGAGTCTTAGTTACAGGGTGTGCTAAAATAACATTCTGATGACTTGGTGCCAACGACGCACTGTGTGATACACTTTTAGTAGTATGCAAATTTGACATTTTGATTGGTGCAACCGAATTGATGAGTAGATTTGTCGAATTTGTTTTACTTAGCGATGGTGCGGACATCGTGATATTTGGAGGTTGTTGAATGTACACCCATTGCGCCAATTGCGCCGGTACAACTGTCTCCAGTCTCTCACGCTTTGTACGTTTTTTTTTCACATACTCGACAGGTTGGTAACGATCCGATGTACTAAACCTTTCCATTGCGTTGTCGTCGTTTGTGTCATACATTGTTGTTCGTAACTGTTCCACCTGAATAAATTCTGTTGAGTCTGAAGTGGATGCAGATGTCATTTCTGCAACATGTGTTAATATTAGTTGATCTGTTACATACTCGTAATGGAAATAAATGTAAATAATTTCAATTTCTATCGATTATAAGCATTAGATCCCCATTCCTTTATAAGGTATTTTACACACAAGACAATTGAAATTCAATTATAAATGATTATCATCACTCAAGATATCTTTTGGAGAAAATTTCATTCAAAGACAGATTGGAGAGATACCAAATTTCACCTTATTACTGCATAGGTATGTTCTCTTCTTGTGCTACAGCTAGCTACTAGTAAATTTATACCAGTAGCACACAAATGTTGTCAAAACATGAGTACTCCTTGCATAACTTCATCAATATCAAAACCTTTATATAAACATTGTTCAGAGGTGAATCCGCAGGTTTTTTTCTGTATCTCTTAGTTTGTGAGGGGGGCGTAATAAAATTGCAACAACAAATAAACGGAGTATATTTTCGTCTAACCATTAAAAAAATGGATTTTCTAACGAGGTTCATCGGCGATGGGGCTGCGATTTTCGCGACCAAATTTTTGTGAAATTTTTTTAGACTATTTTAGATATTTTTATGTAGTATCCAGAGGCATAGCCCTAAAAAAATTTTGAACCATCATTGCTGAGATTTGACCCAAATTCTTCAAAATATTGCATTTTCCCTTTGTAGGTGCACCTTCCTCCAACATTTTAGAAATATTCACAATCAAGTTTTTAGATCGCCAGTAGATCTGTCTCGTCTAGACGATCTATTCGCCTTTTGAGAGTACCCTCCTCTGACACTCCATTCTGCAGATATTTGCACTGAAAGTTTTGACATCACCAATGGATATATTTTTTCCAGACGTCCCAATCGTCCTCCGGCAATCGGTAGGTACTCGAGATAAAAGGAATTACATATATCCGATCACTATAAGGGGTTCGAGAAGGAGGACTATGACTGGTAGAAATTAATTCCTTTTGTTGAGACCGTTCTTTCCTAGTACCATGAAGGATATAAAACTAGTTCAGCAGTGAGATCAGAAAAATATGATGTGAGTGTAGTTTCGGCGAACCACCCTGTATGTATAAAGTTTTGAATGAAGTAATTTTGAACCCTTGCTTCTACGCACAGCTTATGGATTGCGGTATACTATGTAGATACAGATGGACGGCAAACTGGAGATATCAGCGCTTTCACTTTTAGGTAGCATTAAAAAAAAGTAATACATGGTGCATTTAATGGACAGATTGGATCTGGAGGTTTCGTTATTTTCATGTTCAATGATCCTCAGATAGGTATGACTGAAATTGGAATTTTTTTCACACTCTCTTTCTGAAATGCATCCCTCTAGGGAAGAACTTATTTCCATGGCGCCCCCATTCTTAAAACTAAAATTGCTCACGCTCCCCTATCCCGATTAAAAAATAAAAACTGCTACTACAAACGCATTTATTAAAAAAATTACAGTGAATTTTATGGTGATTAATTTTCCCATTCAAAGTTTCTTGTAGGTCTACAAATAGCGAAGTTCAAAAAACCGAAAAATGTCATTTTCGAGAATTCGTTAAGGTGTCCATTTATTTTCAAAAATTATCAAAAAAAAGTAGAGTTGATTACCTGTTTTCATCTATTCCCCATGATTGACCTGTTTTTTTAAAGGTTACATATTATGCTGAAAAAAATTTTATTCTTTAAAAGTTGCTTAAAATGGTCTAAAACGTCGACATTTGATGAAATTTTGAAATGTTCAAAAAACGGCTATCGCAATAGCTACCTAGCACATGCTAGGAAGCTAATGTTCCATAAATAAGAAAATTGCATTTCTGCGCATGCGCAACACGATTTTTGCGCATGAATTTTGTTTGATTTTATTAAAGGGACTTACCATAGAAATTTCGTTTAAATTGCTTCAGAAACAAGATCGTTGCGTTTTGCACATATGCAACACAATTTTTTGACTTTGACAATTTTTTTCTCCGTTTTTTGATAATATAACCCGGCCCAATTTTTTGTAGGTTGTACACAGGAAAATAAGGTCTTCCAAATAATAGAATAAAAATTTTAGGTTGCTATTTGAAAAAAAAAGTTCGATGCCATTACGGCGCTCCAAAATTTCTTTTCAAAAATCCGGCCCGTTATTTTTCTGTTCGGTATGCCTAAAACATATATACAAAATTTCAACAAAATCCGTCGAGCCGTTTTCTCAGAAAATTGCCAACAAACGTACGTACGTACGTACGTACGTTCATACGTACGTACGTACGTACATACAGACGGAAAAAAGTTTTATTCTTTAAAAGTTGCTTAAAATGGTCTAAAACGTCGACATTTGATGAAATTTTGAAATGTTCAAAAAACGGCTATCGCAATAGCTACCTAGCACATGCTAGGAAGCTAAAAATGAAAAACAAACAAGATGAGCATTGAATCTCCTAATTATTTCAAAAATCTTTCTTATACAATCTACATTTTTTTGGTATACTTAATTGTTATACTCTGTATATAAACGTCATTCCCAAGCAAATTTAATTTTTGCAACATTGGTACAGATTGTATTACACTAGAACCCCGATTATCAGTTCTTGAGGTATAAGGAAATATACCCGATCACGATAAGAGGTCGAGGAGGAGGGCTATGGTTGGTAGAAATTAATTCCTATCGTTGAGACCTTTCATTAGAGTACCATGAAGGATAACACTAGTTCCACCCCCCCCTTCCCCTCCTCCCCGTACTTTGATAAGAGGACACAAAGAAGGGCAGTAGTTGGTAGAAAACGGTTCCTTTCGTTGAGACCTTTAATTTTATATCTCATATTTGTATTCTAATTATTAGAATACAATGAGACATAAAATTAATTTTTACCCCCCCCCCCCCCCCCCCGGCCCCGTCGCTCACTGATCTCAAAAAAGAGTTGCTGCACGGGAAAGTTATAGTTTGTACAAACCAATTTATTTTAATGAGACCTTTCATTAGAATACCATGAAGGGTAGAACATGTGGACGGACGGACAAAACGCAATTCTTCAAAAATGCGCTAAAAACTTGTAATACATGGGGCATTTAATGGACGGATCGGACCTGGGAGTTTCGTTATGTTCCCCAGAGAGGTATCAAATTTGACTGATATCAGAATTTTTTCACACCCTCTTTTTGGAATGCATCCCTCTAGGGGTAGGAATTTTGGGAAATTTTGTACAAAATTCAAACTCGAGGGCCTAGACAAAACCGCTAATGTCATCCTCTCGTGTAAGGGTTAAAGTTGCTGTAAAAAATTGAAGAAGAAACTCACAATTTTGAGGGCCTAGCGTATTACAACATGCCACATTGGATCTTTGAATTATTTAAAAAATCTTTCTTATACAGTCCAAATGTTTACACTTGCTACACTCTATATATAAACGTCGTTCAAGAGTAAATTTCATTTCGGAGCCATTGGTAGCTACAGATTGTATTACTTACTAAAAAAAATGTTTGCTGTGTTTTTTGTGCCGATTAAATTGAACCTTTCATAAATATGGAGAAATAAAATATAAGAAAAATTTGCTTGAAAACAGTTCAACCTACATACTACATGAGAAGCAGAACCAGAAATTCAAATAAAAATATGTACACGGTTCCATTTAAAATGTGAGGTGGGCGTACATTCTCAGTGAACCACCCTGTATATAGTTTCCTATGAATTAATCTTGCGGACTTACTAGGGTGTACAAACGGACAGAAATTTGGAGGCGCTTTTTGTGGATTGTGCTAGGTTAATAAAAATCAAAAAACGAAACGCAACCAAATATGTTGGTAGAGATAACAAATTGAGGTAGCAACAAAAAATTGTAAAATCTTCAACGGTTTATTAAATTAATTTTATTTATTTGAGGAACAGGGTGGAACTGGGGGGATGACGCGAAATTTTTAAATATTAGTATTATTGTTTTATAAATTTAAAGTTAGGGGTAGGAGGGGTTGATTAGTCAAACCTGCTCAATATAATTATACAACCTACATGAGACACAAAAATTTCATGCCGAGACTCTTTCGGTCTCTAGTAAAGATATCTAATCCGCCACATCAAACTAGCAGGTGAAACGACACAAAAACAGAATAATTAGGTACTAAACTAATACTTCGACCTTAACAAAGTTTAAAATGTGACCATAAACCTTTTCATATTCATGCATCGCCTAGACCTCGAATGAGAAGCGAAGAATATATAAATTTGGAGGATCATAACCTTCCTTTTTATTTTGCTTTAGTATACACATCTGACTACGTGTTAATAGGTAAACGATTATCAGTGCACATCTTTATCCTGTAGGCTTGAAGTTTTTTGATTGTATGCCGAACCATTGCTGACGATCTTACACCATAAACATTCTACGGTGGTACGATCTTGTCGAGGAAAGTTACAATACAAAATAATTTGCACTCGTTATTGTACTTCTCCCAAATTAATGATTGGTGTATAAAAGGACACAAAATAACACCAATGAATGTTCCACATGGTGAAAAACTGATGGATACGAACTTTTAAATTCGTTTAGTAAAATTGTGAAACGAACATTTCGGAATTGTACAAGCAAGAAAGGACCAATCTGTTGTACCACAAGAATGGTTTTTTGCACTGTTCAACGTTAACTTTAGAAACAAAAAGTCGGTTGAGGTATCAAGTGTTTAAAAAGTGTCATCAACTTGTTTGAAAATGATAATAGTCAAAAATAATTTTGCAAGAGAAGCAGAAGGAATACCTGAAATATTTGTCAAAGTTTTAAAAGTTACGGTAGAAAAAGGAAACTTGGGCACATTTTGGGTAAAATAAAAGCACTAATTGCGCAATAAAATAAAATCTAAATTAATAAGGTAAGTCCTTGTCTTGACGGTTGTGAGAATAGTAATACACAAAACTTTGCAAATAACGGACGGCAAACCTCATTGAAAGTAAACGTGACTGTTTAATGGTAGTTAAGTAATTAATTGAATTAATAATTACCCTTTCGGTACTCTGCAGCAGTTAATTATTTCTCTTTTTATTTCTTATTTTTTCTAAACACCACTAAAGTAGTTATACGCTACGAAATCGGGAATATCTATGGATACGACATGCGCACAAGCGTAAAAGTGAGGCGGGGGGAAAGGAAATCGACAAGGAACCACCAACGAAATGGTTTGCCATTTTGATTTTCGCGCTCTTTTACACATTTACGCGAAAATTGATTCGGGAATATCATAATTCTTTCCCCAAAGAACGTATAGGAATTCCTCTTTTATAGCCGTTTATGTAATCTCGTTATGATAATTCAGGAATCTGCATTATCGAGCCGAATTTAAAATTGATCAAGCGAAAATGCGGATTATTGCTTATTTTACGCAAAATTTTTAACTGGCATTGTACTGCCACAAATCACGTGCATCTCGGACACGTTTTCCCACGTTTCCCATCAATTTTGACCCATTTTGCAGTCTTACTGCTTTAAACCAAGCAAGAATTGTAACGTATTGATGATGTCCACCAGGTGTACCCTCTCTGTTTCACAAAGGCTGAATTAACCAGCTATTCGTGAATGGATTAAAGTAATTATTATAAATGGGCGTGAATGTTTAATTTATGTGGGATAATCACAATTATTACCTTTGGGATATTCAAGGAAGTCGGTCACATTTAAATTTCCCACCTTGTGTCAACAAAATGCGGCGTTTTCAACAGACCAGACCTGTACCTAAGGATTAATTATGACAAAATCTCAATCGGTACGGTACCCGCAAATTACAATTCCCTAATTAACTATTTTAAAGAAATTGAAAATTAAACATAATCTTACCTCATGTTACTTTCACAAGACGCATGCGCAGGTTTACGCGTAAACAGCTGGTTTCCTCCCTCCCCCGCGACATTGTCAATTTTGACATCGAGCACTAAACTCTGATATTATTTGTTTATCAACGAGAAAAGCGAAGAGAAATTGTTGAAGGCGTTTGCGTACTAAATAAATGTTGTAGCCGTAATCCTCGATAATTACAGCAGGTAACTGAAGTCCGTCCTTTTTCGCTTAAATTAGCATATAAAAATAGAAACTTTGGACTTGTTTGTTTTGGTTTACCCAGTTTATCAGTAGTTGATTAAAAATAGCGACGTGCTGACAGATTTTTTTCTCTTCTTGTCTTAAGGTGACTTTTTCCAAGATGGGTGGTGCAGTGAGCACAGGTCAGGACAATAATGACTTAATAGACAATTTGGTGGAGGCGGATTACATTAGGACATTCTCAGTCGAGACCGTATTTCGTGCCGTCGATCGAGCAGATTATTTTCTGCCCAGCTCGCGAGGTAATGCCTACAAGGATCTGGCATGGAAGAGCGGAAATCTGCACCTGTCGGCCCCTTGCATTTACAGTGAGGTGATGGAGGGATTAAATTTGCAGACCGGTTTGAGTTTTTTAAATCTGGGTTCCGGTACCGGCTATTTGAGCACGATGGTGGGGTTAATCATCGGCTCCAATGGTATAAATCACGGTGTCGAGATTCACGAGGATGTTATACAGTATGCCAATAAGAAATTGGAAGATTTTAAACGTTGTTCCGGTGCGATAGATCAATTTGACTTTTGCGAGCCGAAATTCTTACAAGGTAAGTTGAATTGGAAACTTTGAGATTTGCTCCAATTGTGATTGGCAGGAAATTGTTTGTGCCTTAGTAGCGATGTTCCGCAGTATGATCGCGTATATTGCGGTGCCGCTTGTCCGTTGGCGCACGAAAACTACATGAAAAATCTGTTGAAAATCGGCGGGATACTTGTAATGCCTCTCGATGATCAATTGGTCCAAATTAAACGCACATCCGAAAGTAATTGGGACGTACGCTCGCTGTTGCCTGTCTCTTTCGCCACACTTATACAACCTCAGAATGGGGACCAGGATATTGTCTCAATGAGTAAGTTACCTTTGTGCACTATTTACATGTCTGATCAATAATTACACCAAAATTTGCTACACAATCGACCTCGTTTGCATACATTAACACAGTTATAAAGCAATTTGAATACAAAGGCCAGTTGTTGGTTTTACTCACTGTAGTCATTGTTTTTTAATTCAATAACTTTGTTATTGTGCAAGTAATTGATAATTACTAATATCTAAAAAAGTGTTATCTCGCTAAAAAAACGTTATTTCGATAAGCGTATTTCCACACTTCCTAGAGTGCAGCTGTCAACCTTACAAGTGAGAACCTTGCAAGGTTTTATACTTCTCTTCTTACCCATTGAACTATGATGCACAATTCTCAAATAGTGAAGTCAATGGCGTGCCTCTTTTGTTCTCCATAAAGGTCGGTTCTTACTTGGAATGCATTCAGCTCGATGATGCGACGCAGTGGCGCGCTTTTGTGTGAAAATGTTCAGTTCATCGGTGCTGATGAAGTAACAGATACAGTTCCTTTCTCCCCTGGAAGCTGTGTCTTAAGGTAGGTGTTATACGCCTCACCAGTGGCGGCTCGTGAGTTTTGAAATAGGATGGGCACAAGTAAAATTTTACCCACTATTTTGTACATAAAATCCGTTCTTCTTTTAAGTCTGAGGAGACGTTAATGACTTTTGTTGTCAAAATTCGGGGTAGACTGGGCGAACTCTTTTCTGTTGATATGACTGCCAACTGTAATCGATGGCCGCATTGCCGTGTGAAAAATACATAAGTACATAGGAAAATTTACTCATATATCGCTTCATAGAGATCGTAAACAAAAGAATGTCTGGCGATAACAAGAAACATATTGGGGAAAGCGAGCGCGGTTGCCATTCGGACGTAAAAGTTGCGTTCATTACACGCCAATTGGGGTTATTGCATTCACAAAAAGAAGGCTTGTTTTGTTTTTTCTAGCGGGCGATATTCAAATAGCGGGAGAGCGAGGATTCTAAGTTGATTTTCGCGAGTGAACACGTACGTCGGTGGAGGAACATCTAGACAAATTGGGATTACAGCAAACAACATTTTTAGCACCTTGACTCTTAAAAACGCCTTTTATTTACGAGTGGTGAAATATACGCGAAAGGACATTTGGGAGTCGGAGAACTGCTTTTCAAATACAAAACGGAACGGGGTTAAATAAACATACATTAAACTCATTGTGAGGCAAAGAATTTTTTTCGGATCGCTAACAGTAACGGCTGGTTAAGTTTATTATTCATGTTGATATTCTTTCGCCTTGCATGAAACAGATTTTGTTTTATTTATATTTTATGGTAAGAATCGAATCCAACTAAAGGATTTTTGGTTATTTTGTTTCATTAATTGGAAAATTGCATTTAATTTCAGTGATGCTTTAGTTGCATTAAATATTTTTTTAGCATTCAAAGGTGAATATATTTTAAACAGGAGAATGTAATATCTGCACTGCATGGGTTAACTTGTACAGCTTGTTTTATTTTTAGCGCATTTTTTAAGAATTAAAAAAAATGTGCTATTGTTGGTCTCAGATTTTGCCTACGCATGCCTTTAGTGGTGCCAAGTTAAACTTTAGAAAATGGGGTGAGGTTGGAGGGGTAAGCACATGTTCTACCCTTCATGGTATTCTAATGAAAGGTGTCATTGATGTCAGCTATAACTTTCCCGTGCGACTCAGTGAGCGACAGGGCCTGGGGGGGGGGTTAAAAATTAATTTTATCTCATTGTATTCTAATTAAAGGTCTCAAGGAAAAGAACCGTTTTCTACCAACTGCTTCCCTTGTTTCTGTCCTCTTATCAAAGTACGGGCTGGAGGGGTAGGGGGAGTACTTTCATGGTACTCTAATGAAAGGTCTCAACGAAAGGAATTAATTTTTACCAACCATAGCCCTCCTCCTCGACCTCTTATCGTGAACGAGTATATTCCCTTATACCTCAAGAACGGATTGTCGGAAGAGGGTATTCACAAAGGGCGATTGAGACGTCTGCAAGAAATATATCCATTGGTGATGTCAAAACAAAAGCTGTTTCGGTAAAAAAAATGCGCTTTATCTGCACAAGAGTTGTGCACAATTTATACTTGTTTAACTATTTGAATATGTTGATGTATGTTTTTGCGTATTTATTGCAGTATTTATATTGCTAACTTCACTTGAAATAATATGCACAATCTAATGCTGGCTGGCTCGATATCGCTTACTTCACACGTGTATTATTGCAATAGCATTGTATCTAACATTGGAAATGTAATAAAGCTACTTCTTTTCGAATTTCAAGAGACAAATACATATTAATTTTGACTGTTGCAAGGAGAAGGTCAAAGTGTTGAACTAAAATCTTTTGATTTCTATGTATTGTTTTCCAATATTGTTTACATACAACGCGTGCATTTTCTCTGAAATTTTCAGGGACGTGAGATAGTTTACTGATAGCGCTTTTCTGTACTTCTGTGGCAAGATCGTTTGCATTTTATTGACATTACGTAACCTAGATTGGGATCTTATTGGGTGTTTTTAGAGAATTAGCAGAATTGAACAATTAAAAACCACAGCCTGTCGCACTGATTTGGGAATGCTAAATTTTGAATATTTCGATTTTTGTGGAATAGCAAGTTTAGAGTCATATTAGAAATAGACAAATAAATCGATTTTTAATTTATCTTTAAATTTTTTACTCATCACAAGAACAATCTGATGAATCATATTGTTTGTTTGTAGTTGAGGTGATTGTTATTACACATTCGTAAATCTATATGTATGCCATTCGCCAAACAAAAAATTGTATACATTATGTCATAATTTGCTGATTTGTAGTCGTGACAAAAGAAAAATTTGTCATTCGGTTTACTATGGGTCAGTTCTCTACTTTTATATAGTTAGCGAAACACAGATTACAACTACAACTTTAGATTATCTCTTTTCACAGGAATTTGTCGTTTATTTGTCATTAATTTGTAATTTTTAATTTTTTGCTTCAATACCTTTTTGATTATTGTGTACTAAAAGTATACATAAATTGTATTAAAAATATTTCAAATAAAAGTTGTTTAAAAACATATTCTATAAATATACATTTTGACGTGAAGTCAAACGTTTTATGGTGACGTCATTTGTAGTTCTGACATCACCAATACTTTTTTTAGATACCATTCCAAAATACCCATCAAATCAATAGACAATGTTTGAGGTTTTAGCACTCTCCCAATTTTTTCCAACCGCACGTTAGTGAAACAAGGTATTCCTTTGGTATTGCAAAATCTTGATGATGTCAATCTGTCTGTCTGTCTGTACTCTTATTTCCTGATAAACGGCCGAATCGATTTGAACCAAATTTGGTACACATATTCTTAGACATAAAAGGGTAGAATCGTGCCTGCGCAGATGTGCGGATGGCATCTGTGCTAGCCACAGCAAATTTATATTAAATGTGTTAGTACATAAGGTGGATGAAATGGACCAGTTTTCTCGAAAAAGTTTGTATGTCTGCGTAGGCGGATTATAACTTGTCATTTGTTCAAATATTGCAAAGGAGTTTTAAGTGCGGATACTGGTGAAATTTGCGTTCACTAAATGAAATTTATTAGGTCTAGGAGAAGAACGCTTATGTAAACCTCTTCGCAACTTTTGATCTTATGTTATGTGTTTACCACTTGTTTTTCTCTTGAAAAATGTTTTATACTCAACATATTCACACTTGTAGGGTCATCTTTTATATACAAAGTGGACCTGTAATAATTTTCTCCAGATGTCATACACTGCAATTGATAGTTTGATACTTTTTACGTACGGAAGGGTAGAAAGCAGGATTTATTCGAGCGTATCAGATATTTAGAGCGTAGGTACATATAATTTACGACACGACCGTCTATGATCGCAGTCAACTGATATGCTGCACGCACTGAACTTTATTGACGATTGACTTTGGCGTGTGGAAATCCGCAGATTATACTACTTCTGTTATTCTTGTCTTCCCTTCCCTCACGTCACGCTCAAATCGTCAGTTTATTGAAATGCACACCTTTCAACACGTACTCAACCCACCTTACTTTAATCTGACGCGCACGCGTATATCTCGAAAGTCCTCTATTGGGCTCCCCTACTATAAGCGACAAACAGCAAACTTTAAAGGAGGCATTTTTTTTTAATTTATGGCGTTTCTTGAAAAAGTAAGCAAAACATTGTATTGAGATACTAACTATAATTACACAGCTAACCTAAAAATTTAAATCAAGGTTTTGTCGTCTTGTCAGTAATATTTGGAATATTGTGCCGCTCAATAAGTATACTTACATGGTGTTGTGGAGAATATAACAGGTAATTATGGTTTGCTGTAAAAACAAATTGATTTATTATTTTGTAAATATATAATATTATTTTTTCATAAAACAGTAATACAATTTTTTTCATACTATTTGCACAGATACACAGAATGTAAAACATTAAAAAATTAAACAATTAATTATTTGACACATCTTCGTCTTTGGTTGTCTCCAGTAATGTATCCGAAATATCACCATTTTAATAAAAGTGTACATGATTTTCACTAACTAATGGTAAATAGGACTATTTAGGAATAACAGCAGTTATACATACTTACACAATAAAATAATGAGAAAAATATGTTTGATTTGTTTGAATAAAATTCCAATCATTGTAAACTGACTGCACTAAAAATCCGATTTTCGGCAAATTTGTCACTTATTGTGTTATGAAAACCCAGGAATTGCGCGTATGTTATGAAAGATACTCTATGACTTTATTGTATGTTTGTATATTCAATGTTTGTGCTTGGCTTGTTGATGTCAATGAAATGTCATCAACATACTGGTTTAGAAGTGTTTCTTTCCAGCTCTTTATTGCTGTCATAATACACTGCAGTAGATACTGTGTTGAGGAAGCTTAGTAGCGACTATTTCGGCACGGACATTTGATTCGTTAGGTATGAAGCCAGTAGAATATGGAATGCCTTGAATAGGTACTATATGGGTCGGATGAATTAACTAATCCAATTAATAACTAATTTTCAAGATTGCTACTAGATTAGTCTCTATTAGTAGAACAGATAGTAAAAAATAACGCCACATAGGAGAGTTAATCACCACGTTATCTTAATGTCCACACTTGACTTTCGCTAATCACTATGTTTTTTTTGCACTTTTGTTTGAAATTTTAGGAAAGCATCTTTTCAAATATGAAAGTGTATTTTAAGCTCTTTTTGGTGCTTAACCACTTGCCATCCGCGACAGACTTTTCTTATTACTTGGACAACTGTGTATCTTGTATTATTTCAGTGATTACTAAAGTCCACAAAAAGTCCCCGAAATTTCCATATACAAATCGTCAATTTGCAGCATGCGTGAAGCATGCGGGCCCAGATTCGCGTAGAGCAGACTCCTATATTGAACCCAAAATTTTTAATTGCGGTAGCAAAATAGTACATACATACATATTTAATATGCGCAATGAGTGGCTTTACGTTCACAATATTTTTCGGGCAGTTTTTAGGTATCTACATTACAATGAAAATTATCAATTTACACAATAACACCCGAAAAATTCAACCAACAGTTGACGAAATACAATTAGAACTAAATACAACTTGCAATTTGCTGTATGTATTTTCATGTATGCGTCAAGCAGATTTAATCCCATTTGTCACTCTTTCAAACCAAAATTTTAATTGTCTCCAATTGTGACTTACTTTCACCTTTTTGTTATACTGCATGTGTTTCAGTGCTCATATAAAGATTTATAATAAAAATAGTCTTTGTCACATATTTAAGCTAAACTCTCGCAGGGAGATGGAGCCATATCGGGTCAGGTAGAAATACTACCAGGTCGAATAATACGGCATAAATATGGTTTAAATAAAAATCGTATAAAACATGTTTCTTTCTTTTATGAAGAAATGATATTAGGCACTGATTTGCATAATAATACTTTTTATTACAAAACAGTGCCACAATAGCAATTAAATCAATACCTATAATTTTGCATATTAAAGTCATTATATGACACTTTATTTCGAACATTATAGATAAGGTATCTGTACACATTTCTACGTTTGGAATGTGAATAATCTTAACTAATATAATAAAGTGAACAAAATACTTGAAGAATTTGTTTAGACTATTTTCTTACAAACATGTGTGCATTATCTACTACTGTAAAATAATAAAAGGTATTTGATTATTGATATATTGCTGTGCCCCACGTTGGGCGCCAAATAAAATACTACATATGTGCAACGGTAAACGATCACTAAACCATCCACATAAATACCTGTAGCGCAATTAAATTCAGATACTAATAAAAACTTTAAATAATTATAATCTTATTGACGTAAGTTCTATTCATTTAAGAAAACGGCCCCAACCGCCGTCAAATTTTCAAATAAATCATTATTCTCGAATTTTTAATGAACACCTCATCACCTCATCAGAAAACAAAAAGGAAAAGAAACCCCATCTAAATTAAGCGTTTACCTTTTATACACCTCTTCGAAATGGGGAAATGGTATACAGAAAACCCAAGCGCTCAGAAACCTAAACTTCTTTAAGTAATTGTGCGTGCCAAAAAATCTATAATTGGTTCTAAAATTCAAATCAATCAAGAGCGCTTCTTTTTATACCCCACATGACTATGTGGAATGAAGTTTCCTGCAACAATTATTTCGTTAATTGTCTGCATGGCGTAGTTCAACAATATATTTATTTAGTCAAGCGAGAAGTGCTGATTTGCACACCTTGGCATCCCCTCGTCCCAAGTAGGCCAGAATGAGTAAGTCAAAGGACCACAAGCTTGTACCACATGCTACATGCCAAATTCGATGTGCTCAAAGGACTCAAAACGAAGGGTTCATCGCAGCTAGTTGGAAATTCCACCACAACGCGCTAGCCCACAGCACTTTCCATGCGTCCAAGTTTCTTGGCCGATTCAAAGGTACCAACAATTTTCCCCGGACTTTTTTCTGTTCCCTCGCTTGAAAACTTTTGTGAAAGGTCATCGTGTCGGAACAGTTCAGAAGGTCAAAGAGGTTTGCACCAAGGCTCTCGAGGATATTCCGAAAGAGGCCTTCCATGACACATTCGTTTCCTGGAAATTTCGCTCGAAGCGCTGTATCAATGCGGGAGGAGAATTATTTTGAAAACTTTTAATGTTGCAGCAGCATCTGGCCAATAAATTTTTTTAAAATCAAATTGGTGACATTACTTTTCAGACAGACCCCGTACATTTGCAAGAACACTGTAAATGTGTCGCACGCAAGATATTCTGGCAGGCAGTTGCTTATTAAACCTGTTGCAAGCCGTTGTCAACGTGGTTTTATTACAGCATCTCATTCTCGTACAGAGTTATAGTTAGAGACTTGTTATTTTCAATATTTTCCATAACCTTTACTGGTTCAGAATGGTTGGATTCACTTCTCACATGAAGATGGGGCTGCTGAGTTCATGACACCCTCGTTCCAAACAAAAGTGGCTCCATACCATCCTTTTTTTTTTTTTGGTTGACGGAGATCATCCTTTTGGAACTTTGAGGGAAGGTTGCTTATTAAACATGCAGTAAAGAGGCTTCAAGATGAGGATGTTGGAACTGAAGGGTCTTGATTTTTGCAATCTGTGTTTTACAATTGCAAATTGTTTTTAGATGGTGACCCAGAAGGTGGAGTGACATTTTCTGAACCACAGGGATTTTGTACAGGTTTCTTTATAGTTACCCTAGTGAGACTAGAGAAAAACATTACGTGTTAGGATTCATATCCTTAATTGTATGGTTAAAAAAGTATATTCGGTATTATGTGAACAGTATCCATTCACAGTCATTCTTATCAGAATAATCACCTTTTTTAAATTGCAAATAGTTTTGTTTAACAATTTCGCAAATGTATCATTCATCATGCTCATTCCCCATTGTCCTATCTAATATCTTTTTAATTTTACAGTACCGATAGAACCCCTATCGCTTCAAGCATTATGCAGAGTAGTCGTCCGAAATATTCTCCGTACAAACCTAGAGGAAGAATATCCCAATTTAAAATCATGCCCCTCAACAAAAAAAGTAACAAAAAAGAAACGCGCCCTAAGGCGCTTGGTCGTTCCATTCTTTGATTCGTCAGAAGATAGCAGTGATAACGGCGAGCATAACAGAAACAGAGATTTGGGGCGCGTTAATTTAGCGAATGATGAAGATAATGAGAATCAAAATGAAAATAATGATACTCGGGATGTAAGTGCATTAATCGATATGGTTTTAGGGAAACTTCGCGATAGGCGAAATGTAAGTCAAGATACTCAGAATAAACAATCCAATACTACTCAAACCACAAAAACATATAAGAGCAAAGAATTTATCGACACTGAAGATGACAGCGATGACGATGAAGCTTCCGGTACCAATACCGAAGCAAACGGATACCGCTGTTGTGATAGCACAACGGTTCATGCAGATAATGTAGAAAATAGTATAGAAATATGTCCACAATCTTCGCCGAGCAAGTCGTCATTTTGTAAAAAAGTAGAGGCCGTGATTGAACATCCACAGGGAGACGTTGTACCAAAGGCAAGTAAGCCAGACAGCGTACACGAAGAGAAATCTGACACATCGAATCAAAACCATAGAGAAAGACGTATTACAGCAGAAGATGAGATAGAAGTCGACATGGAAGTTGAAGATGAGGTGCCAGTCAGCAAAACAGAAAAACAACCAAACAAATCCAAAAGGGAAAAGTTTGACAGCGGATTGGGAGATGAAATGATCGACAAACATTCTGGATCCGATGCATGCGATTCAGATCATGCTATGGACGTTGAATCGTCCTCTAGCGCTGACAGTGATCAGGACGAGAAAAGACCGAAAAGAGGATCTAGAGTACCTGTTGCCGGATCGATAGTACGTGGAAAAGTGCGACGTGTCACCTTACCTAACTCAATATTCGACAGCAGCGATTCCGAAGAAGAGAATCCAGATGACAGTTCTGAGCCTAACGAAATTAGAACCATATCGAGTCCCTACACCGCACTCTTGAAAAATAAAATCAAAGACCTTCCATTACCGACGGTTCTAAAAAATTACCTTAATTTTTACAGGGAATTTTAAAATACAGCTGGCAACACTAAATGGATAATATTAATCAATTTTGTACGTAATATAGTGTTTTCATCCCTGTAGATCTGTTGAATACATATATTTAAAACTGGTACCTAGTAGATTGGTTATTGTATATTTATGAGTTTAGATTTAATGCGCTATAGATATATTGTATATTTCATTGAATTAATAAATTATAAATATATAGGTGAAGGTTAATGAATAATCAGCTTCATTATAAGACAATGGGTTACCTAGTTGAGTTATGGATTTGGAACACTGCGTAAAAGTATAACTGGGTTCTATTTTGGGAACAGGTCATTTCATGAAACTATGCATTTCTATTTCAGATGTGATTTTTGAAGGAATTTAATCCAAAGATTATGGAGTGGTGTGTGTGGGTTGAAGACAAATAAAAGACCTACTGCAAAAATAATTTGTTGTATTAAAGCAGCTATTTGTAATTTTGCCAACGTTGCACTATATTTTTTACTGGCTCCTTTCCTGTAATCATATGCTCCACCAGTGGTTTATATTTTCCCTGCATTCATTCATGAGTGGCCCTTATCAGAAACCAGATTGAATTATCATATACTTCTGACTCGCCTAAAAAGTAGAGTTTTTACTATCAGGTAGGTCATAGTGCTATCTAATTACGGACAAGTGCTTAGCAACAGCTTGCTATTTTAATTAGTTGTAATTAATTTGTAACTTTTAACAGCTCTATAGGAACCATCTCCGACGAAATGTTATGTCATAGCATTGAATAAGCACCTTTCAATGGTCATAGTGAATACAGAATTGGTGAATAAAGCCATAGAAGAAGTAAAAAGTGGAGAACTAGAGAGGAAATGAAGATTTATCAAAAATCACCCAGAAAACAATTTAAGTATTCCTACCGGAACTTAGGTGCGTTATCGGCGGCAAAAAAACAATTACACATAATAAAAACACAGAACACTTTACTCCTCGTCTACTACAGCAACTACAGTTTTTAGTAACGAAGCGGCTAGCTTAAAAGGCTTCTAGATAGCGGGTGCTCCCCAATGATGGTCGCCTTCACAAATATACGGTGTGGTCCACTGAACTATACTTATTCTGGAACGCGCGCTTCGTCGACCAGCGGGATCCGAGAGAGAGAGGGCCAAAAGGGGGATCGCTGTCCTATTCTCGCACATTTCCACTTGCATTCATTTCCCATTTGTAAGATGCAACTTCTATTAAAATCGTAAAAATCCGGCCACAAATATGAAAGATAGCGTTGCATATATGTGCAATCAATTTTTGACGTCCTACTTCAATTTCAGTTTATAAGAAGAATTTCATTTCAACGCTTTCATAAATAAGAAAGTTGACACTGCGCATGCGCAAACTTAAATTTTGAAACTGGCGCGGTGTTAGATTTTCCTTTATTGCAAATGCCTATGTATCAAATTTCATTTAAATGCTTCCATAAAAAAAAGTTGGCACTGTACATGCGCAAAACCAAATTTTGAAACTGGCGTTAGATTTTCCTTTATTCCAAGTGGCTATGTATCAAATTTACTTTTATAAATAAAAAAGTTTGCAATTCGGTTTATAAATGGTCGAGATGCGAAAAGGGCACTGTGAATTTTGAATCGATTCTACTCGACTAATGGCATTGCGTATTATATGCAGGCTAACGCTATGCCCATATTGAATTTCATGCAATTCATTTCTAAACAATAAAGTTATCGTTCATACGGACAGATAGATGGACAGACAAAGGAACAGACGGACGACAGACAGCAATACAAAATTATAAACGATCTCTAGGATCGTTAATAAACGGCAAAAGTGTGGAATTATGGAACATGTAAAAAATGGTTTTGGGTTTTTTTTACAATAACTTTTTTAGCAATAAACGCAGAAAAAATTCCTTCCTTGGTGCAAGCCTCGACACCATAACGAACCAAATAGCGAAAAAAGTAGAACAATAGCTCTTAAGATAAAGAACTAGTAGCGTCCCAACGAATGCCCGGACAGACGGACGGACAAAGTGGCCACAATAGCGCACTAGATAGCGCATGTTTTTTTAATTTTGTGGAAATGCGCTAAAAATCGTAGAGATCATTCCACGACTAAAAGATGCTGAAATGCGCGCCGGTGAATCCGAAATTTCGCAATTACGCTTTTCTGTTTTTTTTTCAATACCTACGGTTTTTTACCTATAACTGTTGACGTGCCAAAGTGTCTTCATCTATAGATTTTGACCTGATATAGAATCCAAATCGCTCAAATAATTGAAGATCGTACTCGCTTTATGAGTTTTTTCATTGCATGCGAAAAGTCGTTATGGTCCTTTTCAAATTTTGATTCCATGAAAATCGCATAAGATACAGGATACTTTACATACCTACTTTGTATGTAGCTGTAAAGTAAAAAAGTGGTTTGAAAGGTCAATGGGTGCCTTCACCAGACGAAGCGCTTCATGGGCGCCATCTAAAAGACGGAAATACTCTAGCAATATTTCGCGCGCCAGTTGCAGTCTGACAGCACTGTCAAGGTGTAAATACCACCGTACGTCCGACTGGAAAACGAATCGACCGGTTTAAAAAAATCAAACGTAAAAATAAAGGGCTTCGAAAGATCTTTCAGACAAGCTAGTACTCGATGCTCCTTGTCATTTAAAATTTTTAAGGGAATCTCCTTAGGGGCAGAGGATGAAAGGGGGTGAAGTAGTTTTTGGTTAAAATCCCCCTTGACAAATCTTTTGACGTGTCTCGGCGTTTTTTCCTTTAATAAGTGGTTTTCGATAAATCCGTGGTGGAAAGTTTTCAAATGATCACCCTGTATAGTAGCTATAGCATCGAGTGTGACGTCACGTGCGAGTCAAAATCACAGAATACCACTCTATATTCCCGCATCTGCGCAGAACGGTTGTTGTATACATAGGACGTTTCGTATTTTTGTCTATACTGCCATTTTTCTCTGTTGTTAGGTGTGTTGCCTAACCATAGGGATATGTTACCACACCATGCTGTAGGAAATACCGCATTTTAGAGTCTACAAGAGCCTATGAGAGCTTCATATGGCCTCTAGATTCTTTTAGAGCTTCTAAAGTCATTTTTAGTCTTCAATTAAAACACAGTCTTTACAAATTCCGTACATACCTGATTGACCCTAGCAATAATCAATGGCGCACTGAATGTATAAGACATATTTCATATGCTGGCACAAATATTTAAATGTTGTAATAATAAATAATGGAACTAGAAAATCGTACATTAACGATAATCGGTTTTATAGTCAAGTATCAATGCGATCTTCTGGTGCCGGCCTTTGCTATGAATTTTTGAATGCTTTAAGGGCTGTTTCCTCCTCGTGAATCCTATTGCAAGTCGAAGAGACGTTACTTTGTTGTTTCTCTTTGCGGTAAACACTTTTAGGGTTGATTTCACTCCGTGAACCCCATTGTAAGTCGATGAAAACGAAATGCTACTTGTTCGCGTTGGGGGTAACCATCTTACCCAGAAGCAGAGTGAAGAAATCTCACGGCTAGCTGCAACTAATTAATCTCCAAGTATCAACTTGACGTTTAGATTTTTGTTTTAGTATTTTTTTTACAACACTACATCTCAACCCTTTAGCTGCGTACATATCTACACTGAACCTGTTCTTCTTGGAATTAAAGAAATTACTGATGTGATCAATTAGCTCAAACTAAAAATCAAAAACAGGATCGTTATGAAGGTAATTTTGCTGTTAGAAAGTACAAAACGTATATCTCATGTTCTGCTTTTTAGAACAGAAAGTCGATTTCGTACCATAATTTAATATCTGGCGAATTTTCGGCGCCACCGTTTGACGATTTCAAAACGCACAAGAAAAGTAAACCGCACTCGTTAGAATTTTTAAAGAAAAGTTCAAAGCTACTACAGTCCTATAAGGCGGTATTTGTCAAACCGTCGATCTACAATTTTGGAGATGCCGACAGGGTTTTTCGGGAGTCTTTGAGGAATTACGACAGCTTTGATCCATCTAATATTTTTGGACATCTAAAGACGTTAAGAGGGAGCAATTCTGCAGCTCATCTGAAATCTGTATTATTATCTCATGTTCCACTTAAGTGTGTAACAAACCTGTTGTAGCAGAGGAGGTACGCGGGTAGTAATGTGAATAAACAGAAACCACGGTTTAAACGAAATAAGGTAATTGAAAAAGCAGCCGAAGAAAAGCAGGAACCTTCAGAAGCTGAAAGTGTTTACCATCAGTGTGAGAAACACGAAGAGGAAGACGAACTAGAAGTATTTTACTCCCCAAACAGTGAATTCGAGCTTTTCTTTAGTGATGATAATAGCGCTGAAGGTCTTGAGCCAGCAAGTCAAGATGCTGATGGAAGTGAAAACGAATATACAGTAGCCGATCACGTATAGATACGAACATGGCTAGGGTTACGCACTAAACTTGTTTGTTGAATAGGAACTACAAGAAGTGGAGGATTTGGTTCAACAAGCAGAAAGTGCTATAAGTGACGTGGTAGCTGAAAATGAAATGCTACAGGAAACTACTTTTGGATCAAACATAGAAGAATGTAAGAGTGAAGAAACGGTCCCTTTAGATGACAGTGTGCAACAGCCAGCTTCTGTAAGTGACTGTTAATATCGTCTGAGTGCACCATTCTGTTTATAGGTAACTGGAGATTATACCGAATACATAAGTAATGACACTGATGAAGAGACTATTGTAGCCGAAGATGCCAAGGGTGGTGATCCTAGCGTAGATGCCTTAGTAATAAAAGAACTAGAAGATGCAGAACAACAAGCAATGGATACCGTCAAAATTATTTACGACTTGAAACATCGGGTTGCGCAACTTTTGAGCGTGAGTAGTTCAAAGTACGCTGGAAAATCAAAATCAACTAAATCTGTAGAAAGAAAAAATGACCGAGGCGGAGGCAGGAGAATTAGAAGAGAAGAACAAACAATTGAGGGAACAGATGACCTTATTTGAAGCAAAAACCAAGAGGATTCAGTTCCTTATTGATAAAGCCAGTGTGTTTGAGGATATGATATCATCCACACCGCGAGTGACAGCGAATCAAAATGAACACGTATTTCCTAAAACCATTACGGAAAATGATATCTCCAAAATCATTGTCTGCAACGATAAAAATAAACCTAGTTTTCCGGTACAAATGGTAACTTTTTTAGTTCTTAGTCGCGCATGATATATAATGATTCTTCTAGAGTGTATTACCTCAATTTGCCAAGCAGCTCAGCGAAAGCTACTCCATGCAAGAAAAGTTAGCTGCGGAGAACGCCGATTTGGAGGATAAGAGGTTAATAACTAATTACCACTAAATACTGCATGATGGCTGGCCACTTTTCCCACAAAGATTTAGCATACCGAATATTCCCACTTCTCGTAGATGATCACTATTTAAAATAAGCACTTGACATTCGTATATGTCAATCATTGAAAAGTCTTTCTTTATCAGGGGCGGACTGGGTACTTACGGTCCAGGTGGAATTGCATAGGTTACGGGCCATTAAAAAGTATTAGTGTAATGAAGATGGCGGGGAGGGGTGGGGGAGGGGGTGCAGCTCTGCTTTTTTGCTTCATTTTAAAGTATTCCTTTTTCGAAAATCAATTAGAATATAGTTTTTTTATTGCAGCTGATAATTAAAAGTAACAAAATATACATAATCCAAAGCCAAACGAGGCGCGTCGCTTGTAATTGTGTTTCAGCACTTTAAAAATACGGCAAAAAAGATAAATTCATTGTAAAACACTTACATAAAAACAGAATTTTTTAATGAACAACCTAACATCAACCCCAATGAGAGAAACGTGTTAAAAATTTATTAATAGTGCAAGAAACTAAACACAGCACAGATTTCCAACGGGCCAATACGACCTACAGGCCAGTTGGCAATCGTCACCCGCCTTCCCGGGCCAGTCCGCCCCTGTTCTTTATAAATTCGGCACAAAGCAAATTCTTATATTCTCATATTAAATTAGGTACAAATTACAAGAAGACCTCCTCAACAAGGATTGCGCAGTTGATTGCCTTCAGAGAAAACTGCAAGCGCTGCAGACTGAGCTGCGTTTGGTTTGCAAAGAAAATTGTTTACTGACAGAGAGGCTTAATCGCATTGAGGTTTAATTTAAACACGCAGTACGCTTACTATCTCCAAAATCTTACAGTCGTCCCCCAACCCACCGACGCAGCAGCATAGCCCCGAAAGATCAGAGGAACCTTCCGAGAAGATGCCTTGTGAGCCAAATAGGGGTCCATGCTCGATTGATATTGAGGCGCGGTTGCAAGATTATTCCGATACAACACAGCAACTTGAAAAGCAACTCTGCCAAATGGAGCTTGAGGTTCGTGATATGAAGAGTGAGTTAGCCTTCGTACAGAAAGAAAGGCAAAACTGCAAAATGTTAGCCGCCCCACCATCGCCATGTATGCCTTCACCATGCCACGTAATGTGTAAATATGTTAATACACCTGCTATATGGCAGTAATTCTTAGATTGGCTTTGGTGGCCCAGACAGGGTTGCTGTGGAGCAGCAGTTGAGGGAATTGCGGGAGCAATACAACAGATTGCAAGATGACTATAAGGGTAAGTTGACGGAAGTGGCCGGGCTTCGTGCCGACACAGAGAAATTGAAACAAAACGCCAAGGATGCCGAAGAGGCAAGAAAAATGGCAGAAGATAAGGTAAAGGAGTATGAAAGAGATGTCAAGAACTTTAGGTCAGAACAGACAAAGCTTATTGGCTCAAAAGAGCAGCTAATAGAGCAAGAACAACAACTCAACGTGGCCAAACAGCGGTTTCGTGACGCACAAGACGAACTAGAAGAATTACGCGCATTGATCCAAGATCAACAGGCGCAACTCGATGATTATAGGAACAAGGTTCGTACATTGCAAGGAGTATTTGCTACTAAACGCATTTTTAGTATCTGCAAGCTCAACAACAAGTTGAAGAACAGCGAAGACAAATCGATGTAATGGAAATGGAGAACAACAGAATAAGCGAACAGGTTAACCTTGAAATACAACGAGTGAAGAATCAATTCCAAGAGAAGATCCAAGAGCTCACCCCACTTCCGGATATTTTAATGGCGACACAGCTAAAACTGAAAGAAGCGCAGCAAATGCATTTACTTGCAGAGAGAAACAACGATAATTTAATCCACGAGCTGCAAGCCTTAAAAGATAAAGCATCTGCAATGGCGGATCAGTTGGAGAAAGTACGAAGTGATCAACAATTAGGAGTCGATGAAAAAATTGGTCTGCAACAGAAACAGCAGCAATTGGAGCTTAAGATTTCGAAGACCGAAGAAGAAGTTGACAGATTGCAGAAGGAACTTGTGCGCACCGAAGAAATTGTCGACCAAAAGGAGAAACGAGTCCAAGAAAAGTTGCACGAGATCGCCCAGCTGGTGGCGCAGCTCGAGACCGTTCGCGAAGAATCGGCCAGGCAAGTTGCGAGGACGAAAGATAGATGCGAGACTGTTAGGAGATCAATGCAAAATAAAATTGCCGATTTGGAAAGGGAGCTTGCACAAAGCAGGGCGCAGGCGAGAAGCGCGCAGAAAGATCGCGATGATATTCGGCAGAAAATGCAAGCTCAAATAAACACACTCAATGAAAACTTTCAGGATGCGCAGATGCGTATAAGAAATCTTCAAGGGCACGTTAATTTCCTGAAGAATTCCTATACGGCCGTATTTCCGAATAAAATTGGCGACGGAATGGATTCCTGTGACTGCGGAAACGCCTTTTAACATTAATATCTTGCTCGATTTTAGCTATAAAGATTTCTTTCCTCAACGCATGTAAATAATTTAAAAATACAATTGTCTACTCCATGCACATGTGTCTTATCTTGCCAATGGAAAAATGGAAGCATTCGCATTGTCACCTGCGCATCTTGGAGTTGGTTCGCTTATTCGGGAACAACGGTAACATTTTTGGAGAAGTTGTGAAAAGGTATGTAATAATAATAATATTGCCTTTATTTAACAAAAAAAAAGAAAATGAACAAAAAGAAAAAGTTAGTGCAAGGTGAAGTTCAGATTGACAATAAAATAATGCCATGTTCTTCCACTTAACCTTTGAATTCCGATTCACGAAAAAAAGAAGACAATTACATTATAAAAATAAGTATGAGGAAAGATAAGAAAAAAAGAGATAAATATAAATTGCATCAAATTAGGTGTACCGGTATAAACTACGGAATCGGAAAGCGGCAATAACGAATGCTGCTCCTCTCCCATTATTTACACTTGTATTTGTAGATATCATCCTTATAGTAAAATCTGACGAAATCGGCGCTTTATCTTAAAGTTTAGACTTAAACGATGAATTGTATAAATATATACCTACTCCGCGCTATCATCAGTTTTTTGTCATTTAACATTCGGTTATAATAGACGTACCTATCCAACTCGCTTTCCTTGCTCTTATTCAATTACAATGACCCGCTTCATTTACATCATCCCGAATGTACACACGTAACGCAGTATTAATTTACATCTGAATTGCATTTCTAACCGCACCTGTTACTCAATATTTCTAATTTCCGTTTACCTTCCTTACGATTAAATTAAAATTTGTGTTATGAATAAATGAAATAATTAATTTCCTTACAATGCTTAAACAAACATTACATTTAGATTATGCATTTGTACTACGCTATACAATTTTCTGTGCTTACGGAAGCGCGTTACAACACGTCCTTCAATTTTCGTTTAGCCCGCTTAGTTTCTTTTTTAAAACTTCTTTAATTAAGAAAATGACACATTACTGTCTAGGAAATATCGAAGGGACCGACTACTTTAATTTTTGAGGCAAGTACTAACGAGTTTTGTATTAAATTTTACCCATAAAAGTCTGGTTATTGAATGCTTGCCGGTGTGACGTCACGCGGCGATTCTATCACAGAAAGGCCAATTTGCTACGGTCTTTATTGTACAGAGGGTCCCATTAATAATGGTCACAGGCCATTACTACCCTTGATTTTAAAGTATTTACAGCGGATATTTTGCACCCAATTTTTTTCTGATCGTTTTTTAATAACAAAATCTCGATTTCAATTAAAATTAAAAAATTTCGAACTTGCCCATTCATTGATGAATTGGTCTGTATAAATTACAACTTGCCTTCATGGTATTCTAATGAAAAGTCTCATCGAAATAAATTGGTTTCTACAAACTATTTCCTGCACGATTCCTTTTCGAGAGGGTGTTCATAAAAGGCAAGTGGACCGTCTGGACGGGAAACATTGACTGGTGATGTGTTTCAGTGCGGTAGGATTGTACTATTAAAGGGTGGAAAGATCGTCTGGGCGAGACACTTAAGTGAATATCTCAAAAATGTTGGAACAACGGAATGTACTTAGCGTGGATTTTGAATGTATACCAGTTTGAATGTTTATGTGTAAAGAGTCTCATTACCAATAATCGTCTACGAAAAAGCGACAGATCAATAAAGTATGTTAATTACTACTACTATAACCCAACCAAGCTATTTCGGTTTAAAAAATGCGCTTTATTTGCACAAGAGTATACAATTTATAGTTGTTTAATTATCATCCCCTAAAAAACTCCTCAGTGTATGAAAGTCATCCAAAATGTGTTTATGGCCTTTTATTGGTCCCGATTTAGTGATTCTCACAAGAAGCAATTATTGTTGTTTTGTGTTGCGCAAGACTTTAAATTTTTGTTCTTGTATGACGTAACGTAATCGCCGATACCCATAATTTTAAAGACATACCTACCTACCGTCCAGATCGATTTACCCTATGTATAGCTGTAGATTTGTCGAAATTTTATGGAAACCATCCGTCATATTTCCTAATTATACAGATCTTTCAGCTCTTAACAATACAATCTTGAAATCCATACTGACTACATTAGCGGAAAAAACAATTATTTATACAGATGGCTCTAAGACGGAAAACGGAACAAGCATAGCACTTTTTGTCCCGTATACCAATACAGTAGGTACCTACTACAATACAAAATTCCAAATGTACCTATATGTTCAGTTTTTATGGCTGAAGCCGTTGCCATAGAAAAAGCTCTTATATGGTGTTTGAGAAATTAAATATCAGGAGCGATTATAAGATCGAACTCAAAGTCAGTGTTGGAAGCTCTCTTCATTTCGCCTCTCAAACAATATAAAAATAGTGCCATATACATATACATTTTTCGAGTGCCACTATGGGGATCTCGCTTATCTTAAGAGATAGACATTTGGTTAAATGAGGGCATTATATTCAGATGAAAATCTCAACTCAACTAGTTCCCTGCCAACGCTCTAACCAGACAAATGGATCAAACTGTCATACTTTTGTTCACGATAAAAGAACGTTTTGTTTTTCCAAAGCACTCTTCCCGAAAAATTAAAAAGTGTCTGAATAAAGTTTTTTTGCGATATTTTCAAAACTACTAAAGATATTTTTAATTTCTTTTCAGATTATTATTCAGCACGAAAATTCGCAACTTTGCCCCCATTTAACCAACTCTCTATCTCTTCAGGTAAGCGAGATCCCCATAGTGGTACTCGAAAAATGGACACCGTGTATATTCAATATAAAAAGTTACTATATTATTTTAGCTCATCCGAAAAGAAAATTACATTCATATGGGCGAAAACTCATGTTGGAATTACTGGGAATGAAAGGGTAGACCGAGAAGCCAAAAATGCTACCAAAATAAGCGACACTATGAACCATAGGGTCGAATGCACAAAAGTTAATCAAGCTGTTAACTCATTTGTTTCAATAAAAAAATGACATTGGCCTTGATTAAATTAGTTAATTTAACGGAACTGTTAAACCCCGATTAAGCTAGAATTCGTATGCACAAAAAAGAATTAGCATTAACGGCGCCGTTAAGCAGCCTCTAATCACGGCAAAATTTAACCGGTGCTCGTCGATTGATTTAAACTGACAGTTTGTACATAATTTTCGATTTGAGCTTGTGAAAAGTAATTTTTATAGATTAATTAGGCCTATTCTATAGTATTTTATTTAAATAGAAAATATATTCATTTCTTTAATTGACTCGCGTAAACGCTTTTTCTAAAATTCTTTTCCATGAGGAGGGTGTAGTATTCCAGTAGAGCATTCTTCCACTTTTGAAGGTGGTAGTTTTTTTTAATTGCTGCAAACTGACCTCTTATTTTGGATTTGGGGTCTCCGTCTTGGAGCAATTATTCCACGTTTTGGAGTACATTGACGGTCAGGTGCGGAAGAAAATGAAAAGGCTAGGTATTTTAAACCACTTCAAGAATGATTGCTGGTGCGGAATGTTCCAATAGCAATAACGACTCGTCATCTTTAAAACAATGATTTATTATGCAATTTCAAACTTTGATTTGTAACATAATAAGAGGCTTTACCATAACACTCTGAACACTCATTATCGATAGCACTTGTGTCGGTGATGCTACTTTCGATTCCTCCTCCAGTTTCCTTTCTCCCTACCTCGGAAATCAGAGGTTAGGTTACTTTTTCACACTTTTTGGCAAGTAAAGCTTCTTCTGGAAACTTTTATACCCTAATGAATTTATAAACATTAAACATTGCTTATATTGCTCGATGCATCCGCTTTTTTCGCATTTCGTTTTATGATGTAATAAAAGTGCTTCAATTGCTTTACTGGTTTTTGGTGTTTGATTCGGAAATGAAATCTTCTGTGACGAACTCCCATAGGCTTGATGTTTCAGAAATGCGGAAGTATCTGAGAGCTCGTCATCCTGGATTCTAGTTTATATTATGTTCCTTATGTTCCTTACTATAAATGAGAAAAAAATGAGTATTCGAAATTGATATAAGACTGAAGGCATGCAGCATCGAGAGGTGTAAAGGTGAGAAACTTTATCAGGAAGCAGTGCTTAATTTATGATATTTTAGCTACTGTAATAAATTATTCTAGCAGTTAAAAATATATGTTGGAATGAGCTCCACTTTCAATAAAATTAAGCACTTGTTTTTTCCTGTAGATATCTTAAAAAGAAATTTTTTTTTGTTTTACTCACATGTATTGAATGCTCATGTATATCATTTTGTATGGGAATAAAGTCAATTATTATTATTATTATTATTATACTCGATGGAAGTTTAACCGGAACTTTTATTGAACGGTCTCAGAACAGTCACTAATTACTATAATAAGAAGGTAATATTTGCTTATGATTCAATCAATTATTTGCAGGAAATGTTCTCTCTGTAGGTACTTCGGTAAAGATTTGGCCACGGATCTTTTTTCCATTGTTAACACAAACATATAATAGTTGATTATTAATTACAGATAAGAAAAAAGAAAAGCCTTCTATACGATCCAAAAAGTAGGCTTTGTAAAAAAATGTTGCCGGCGCCAATTTTTACCAAATATTTAATCAATGCTTAATCACCTTGGTTAGTTAATCAAGGAGTCTTTTTGTTTTGTGCCTACCAATCTAATTTAATAGTTTATATTTAATAATAACGGCCAGTTGCACAAAAAAAAATCCAGGATTATTATTTAATCCCGTATTAAGACATTTGATTGGCTTTATATTGCAGTAGGCAGCCAATCAAATGTCAAAATTCATGTTTAAACTCAGATTTGACAAATAATGTAGGATTTTGATTATAATTCGCTTTCCTGCAACCGGCCGTCAAAGGTTTAATTTAATTATACTGATTAACTAACTAACTGCCTCATTAGTTATTGTTTGTGCATTCGGCCCTTTTGGGATATTACTGCTAATTAAAATATTTTTACCCAAAATCTTTATTTATGCATTAATTTTCTTGGGAAAGTCGATTGCTCAATGTCCAAGAAGTGGTCCATGTGTATTTTTGGAAACCAACATATTT